CCGCTCGACTGAGGATCCCACAAGCCCGGCAGCCGCGGCGCCGGCGGCGGCAGGCGGCATCCCAGGGTGATAGACCGGAGCAATCGAGGGCCGAGAGCCTGGCTGCGTGTGCAATCGTGTAAAGAAGCGGAGGAGGAACTGCTCCTAAAGGCAGGAAAAATCGGGCACCGAGTTATTCATCTAACCGGGCCCCGCCCACTTTCCAAAAGCTGTCTCCAGGACAGCCTAGCAGCGAGCGGTCTGGGTCTCCAGAGCTGCAGCTCACTTTAGAGACGACCTGGGAAGGCGGGGAGGAAAAGGGGTGCGGGAAATTTAAAAGGGAAGGAAAGGAACTTCCTTTTCTTCTCATCCGCTTCCTATTTATTTATTTATTTATTTCTGAAACACTTCTTTCTTATTGGACGAAGAGATTGAAGTTCAGACTGCTTTATTTTACAGTCACCCTAGAAACGCTTCCGTCCTGCTTAAAAAGAAGAGTTGGCAGCGGGCCTGGCTGGGACTGTGGGATCTGTACAGGATCCGCGCTCTGCTCCCGGTCCGCGCCGAAGCTGTCATCGGCTTAGAATAGCATGGCTAAGAAGTGTGGTGTGGATGGATGGACGGGCCTAGCACATGAAATGCTCAGAAGCCCAATCGTATTAAGCAAACGTGCCTTTTTTTTTTCCTTTGATCTTTGTGCAATATGTTGGCTTTTATTTTCCCCGCTGATATCACTTGTGTTTTATTTTTGGTTTATTTGTAGAATGTCTCCCTTCTTGATCTTGACTTTTATGTACACTCATTGCTCCTTTGCAGAGTGGTGTGCAAGGTAACATTCTAGTTTTCTGGTTTTGTGGTATATTGGTATATTTCAGCTTATCAAATGCTTAAAGTATACATTTTGTAATTTTCTTCCCATTCTTACTTTGACTAATACCATTTCAAACAAGAAGTGTCCTAAATGGTAACCTCATCCTGCTTGTATCACCGGTGAAGAAACAGGAATAAGCAGGTTGCCCAGCAAATCAGCCATCAGTACAGATAGATTTGTACTGTCTGCATGATACTGATTGCTTCAACTTTTCCTTCAAGAATCCTTTGTGATTAAAGTTTGTTGATCTGTTGCTTGGTGATATGTTGGAGGGATCTTTTCCAATATTTACAACCTTGCTTGCTTACTATCTGACTACACAATTAGTCTGAGAAGTCTAAACTATCATATGTGCTTTCCTGAATTTAGTGTTGAAGCCAGGCAGCTAAGGGCTCAGCACTGAGCAGAGATACAGCATTTTCATTTATAATAAAGTACTATTGATGCCTTGGTAACACAAATCAGAGAGTAAATGAATAACGGGCATCAGAAGTACAAATTTGAGTTTCTCTTCATTAGTCAATGTAAAGAAATTTATTTACCAAAGCCATTATCTCAAGAGCAACATTAGCAGTGATGTATGAAATACAGATTTTTTTCCCCTCCAAATTTGTTCTCTCAGTGGCATTGTTGCATCTGTTCTTGGGCTGAAAAAAAAAAAGCCTCTGCCAACCCCTAGTAATCCTTCTTCCTTAGTAATCCTATTTTCTTCATCCTAACCACTAAGTACTAAATACCAGTCCCTACTTCATCTCTCCATCCTGACCCCAGACTAGCTGCATGTCATTATCTAATTACCAAAGTGATATTATGTCTGCAATTCATATGATGTTCATAGTTTTCAAAGAAAATATTTTTACCACCTGAACAATAATTCTCAGATAAGCAGAACCAATATTTTTAAAAACACCATTTAGCCAATGAAAGAAATTGAAGCATAGAACTGTATTAAACAAACTATCTAAACACAGCTAGTTAGTAAACAGATTAAAACTCTAACCTTGAAATTTCTTAATTTACCAATGATTCAGGACTCTGTAAGGATATTTTTCTTAAGCGTATAGAATTATTCTGATGTTTGTGAAACAAACAGTAAACATTTTGTTGTTTTCAGAGAATATTATCAAGAAAAAAATACTGAAAAATAACAAAACATAAAAGTTATAAGCCAATTTGCATTGCTAGAAGGTGGCTTCTTGAATTTATACTACTGATATATCCATAATATAATCCCAAATTTTGATGTGAAGATAAATCCTTGGCTGGTAAAGTCTTAGTTTACATTGTTGTTTGCCAACAGACCTGTATGAAGGACAAAGGAGCTGAAGTCATAGTTAGCCCTCTCGCTTCTTCTTTCTCCCTTCTGTGGAGCTTTGAACACTAATTTCTCAGGGTTGATCTACATCTTTGTTGATGTTGGAACACATAACCTCAAGAATCAAACCCAAGATCCAAGACCTTCAAAAATTGGGAATCCACAGAGGAGATAAGTAAGTTCTGTAGATAATAGTCTGAAAACCAAAAGCTGACAACAGTCTGAGATTTCCAAAAGAAACAGATTATTATTTGTAAGTATATATTACTAATATCAAGGAGGTATGAGTATTTGAAATCATAACTGTTACAGCTAAGAGCCAGATACATGTCCAAGTTCCTCCTCTATTAAATTGTCAGAAAACAAACATTTAAAAGGTTTCCTCTTCATAAATGCTGTTAGCTAGTTTTTTCTAGACCACATAGTCCCTTTAGACTACATAAACATCACCTCTCAGCAGCCTACCTCCAAAGAGTAATATGCAGCTCTTAAACTGTGATTCATCAGTTTCCCTTTCTGTATTCCCTCTGCCCTTGGACACAGTGATGTACTACTCTTCCAATTATATTCTTTAATGTGGACCATAGCAGGAAGAAATTAGGTGTTGCCCAAGATTCTGTTCTGTCTTCCTTCTCCAATTACCTGGGGATCTATGCACTTTGATGATTATTCCTCTCACTTGGATAATGTTGACCTTGAGATACTCATCTCCAGTCCCATCCATGGTACTGAGGTCCAGTCAGGAATTTGTAAATGTTGAACGAGCCTATCAAGATATGCTTCCTGCACCTCACACCCAGTGCATGGAAAATAACCTCTTCATGTTCCTTTTTCCCCTCACCCAAACAGCTTTCCCTTCTTGAATTTCCTTTTTATGTTACTGGAACTAGTAGGTTCTATTTCAGACTTGCTTAAACAGGGAGTTACCTGAGTCCTCTCCCCCACCATAGGTTGCGTAGATTCAACCCTGCCTTCCATTCCTACTGATACCATCCTAGCTCAAACCTGGTTAGCTTTTACTAGCATTAGTTTTCTAGCTATTCTCTTTCCCCTGAGGACTTTATACCTCCAGTTTATCCAACTCTCTATTGTGGATGAGTTATCCTAAAGCACAGTTCAGACTAAGTCATATCTCAAAAGACAGCTCCCTGTTACCTGCTATATAAAATGTATTCTACCTCAACCTTAAAAGTGCCTCCCAAATATGATCCCAAACTGCCATTGCCGCCTCACTCCTTGCCTGTTTTTTAGCTAACTGAAATGGCACACTCCAGATATAGGTAATACTTACTTGCCCCCTTGCCACTGCCTAACGTTTTCATCGACCTAGAATGTCCTTTATTCCATCATCTTTATTCCATCACTACCAGAAACGAACCCCATCCAATGCCCATGTTCCCCATCAACTCATTCTCTATCCTCCAAGCTGGCGATGAGCTCAGCCTCTTCTGAGTTCCTATACAATTTGTTCCTGTCTCTCTTCTAGAACCATCCACAGTATATATTGTGGTATAGTCTTTTGTATAATTATTAGTGTGTACTATTGGATTATAAGCATCTTGAGGGCAGAGACCTTGTATTGTTCATGTTTATCACCCACAATGCTTTTCATATATGAACCCCTGGATGAAAGCAGAAGCCAGGAAACAAGAGTTTAGACTAAAGGGAATATGTAAACCTGGTTTGGGTCATGGATGTGTGGAGCTGCAAAAGACAATAAAAAATCAGTTTAATGAATTCAGTCATGTAATGCTCATTTTCTGTCCTGTACCTCTTCATTCTAAAAATAAACATAACTTGCCAAGCAGGATGACCAATACCTGTAATCCCAGTTTCTTGAGGCTGAGGTAGGAGGCTGCTTAAGCCTATAAATTTTGAGACCAGCTTGAGCAACAGAAATGAATAAATAAATGAATAATAAAACCTAGACCCAGGAATGTGGTGTGCCTTGCCCAAAGTTACATAACTAATGACAGAGGAAGAATTAGAACTCAGATCTGAACCTCAGTTCATCCATCAGCCCCATCAAAAAATTGATTCCTTTCCACCCTCTTCTGTGCTTCTCTAAATGGATATTTTTCTTTTGGGTGAAGGTTTTCTCCGTAAAGTAATTTTATTCTTTTACATATTATTTAAGCTTACAGCATTTGTACCACATTCCTGGCCCCACATATAATTTTAACAAAATTATACTTTTTTTTTAACCAAAGGACCAAACAGAGACATCAGAGAAACATCTGGTCTGATTCATCAGGGTAGCAGCAACATTTCTATTTATACATGAGCACAGCCCTATCTTTGTAGCTCTCAGCTGTTGCTCATTGCTCAGTATGTTCCCCTTTTCAACCTTGTCTGTCCCTCACCAAGATAGCATCCTGCATCCTGAGGCTTAAGCAGAATCTAATGCAGCAAAAGAACGTATTTCTTACTCTTTAGAAAAAGTCTGTATTTTGAAACTTTTTCTCTGCTTTCTCAGTCTCTTTGTTTTACACTGTAAGACAGAAAGCCTCAAGTGGTTGAGTGGCTGCCCGTCATTCTACTGCATTCTTGGTAGGAAGAAGTTGGATAAAAATCAAAACTATGGCACAAATCAAGTCTGGAAGCAGATCAGGTAAAAAGGAAGTGGGGGTATTAAATGGGGGTACTAGGGTTGATGTGGAGAATTTAGAGATCGCTAACTCTCTTCGCAACATTTGATAGTGATTTTAAATCAGAAAATGAATGGTCTTAGGCAGCCATTGGTTCCACACCAAAAAAAAAAAAAAAAA